ATATATATATATATATATATATATATATATATACATACATATATACATATATATACGTTCATTTGTGATACACGGATAGCGGAGAAAATATTTTTCAAGGTGAAATCCATCCTGATAAACATAATTTTTTAACATCGCACTAGAAATTTCGTAATACAAATAAGTTGGTATAAATTCTACTGGATATAAATTTAGGCTTAGACGTGGAAAGTAATACAATTGTTTGGCTATGCTAAAGACGGAAATAAAAAAAAAAAAGAAAAAGAAACATTGTATCTCGAATGTGTGGGAAACAGGCGACGCGTATTTTTCACCACTAAAACCCGAAAACTCGGATCGGCGAGACTATATATATATATATACGCCGACGTTCTCGAGCGAGGAAAGCGCGATTCATCAGTTGTGCCTTGCGGACATGTACCGAATGTACTCGTGATAAGGGTTATAGTGTGCATATTCTTCGTGTAATTGAATCCGCATTCTTGCCGCATTCTGTACCGTAAGATATCACGTTTTATCTTATTAAATCGTTAGGTCTAATCTAATTCTCTTAGCGTTAAGGGAATACCGATTATCAAGCGTACACTCGAAGCTGCCTAATTAGAACCGTCACGTTTTCTAAACCGCAATTAGGCACTTTTAGATTTTAGTTAAAGGGAAAACATACCAATTAATTGTGTCCTTATCGTACGGTTTTTCGAACGAATTTCACGTCATATTGCTCGTTTGAAATTTCTTTTGTCTCACGTAAGAAATTTCCCTGATGGTAAACGCTTATACAGGATGAACCACGCAACGTGATCAGCTTGGTTTATTTTGCTGTTAGTGGACCGCTCGAAAATGTTTTCAAGATGATTTTAAAGCTCACCTTGAACCTTAACCTCATGTTATACTGGACAAAAAAAATTGTCAAGCGGTCCACCAACAGCAGAATAAATTTAACTGATCACGTTGCGTGTTGGTTCATCCTATATAAGATCAATCGGTTCGCCGTATTCTATTCGATCAATCGCGTAACGGAGTTCTCTCATTATAATGTGCAATCGCAATTTGCTTACAAATTTGTCGAAGCATCGAGAGCAAAACACCGAATGAAGCCGAGTGTAACGAAGAATAGTCATTAAATTAATACATACAAATTTCCTGTTTTTTTTTCTTTTTTTTCAAACGTATTTACATCGTATATTCGAATGGAGGAAAACATTTATGACTCGTGTTCCGAACGTACGTTACGTACGATACGTTTATGACAGTGTTAGCACGTCAGTATTTCCAGTATCGCTAGTCGCATTCTAACACAGGTGATAACACGGTGCTCGGTACTAAACAAGACAATTGATAATCGTTCGATGTTTAGAGCAAAATTCCTACTCGGAATTACCGAATAAGTCGACTCGTGGCGCGCTGACATCGTTATAAACGTGTGTTCGTCGAAATACGGGCTGTTGAGTTTAAAACACGACGATACACACACATGCGCAATTTTGATCATCACGAAAGTTTCAAGCTCAACAGACCGCGATTTTGCATTTGCGTGTACTCCTCCGGCAGTGGCGAAAGCCATCGAGTTTCTCATCGGTCGATGAGAAAACTTCCTGGAAAAAGAGCGAGTCTAAAATCTAAAATTTTTTGATCCAGAAAATCCGAAAAAGTTCTACTCATGCGTACGTATCGATATTGCAGACATTTTTATTCCAGCAAATATAGCATCACGATCCCCCCACCCCCCCATATGCAGTTTCGATTTTTGACTATCTTGTACTTATAATAAACAAAGACAAAGGCGTGTTTTATCATACACCTCTCTAGTCGGACTTTGTTGCTATGTAATAAGCTGTAAACGTTACTATATGCATGTCGCTAAGTTCTCACTGACTGATGTTTTCCGTGATGAAGCGTGGCATCAGTAATGAAATACGCAGAATCTGTACGCTAAATTGCATTTCCACTGATGGAAATGCTTCCATGTATAATATAGCGAGTATTTTATTTATTGATATATATATAATTCATGTGCCGCGTTATATAACACACCTGTTATTAAGTTTTTAACGTTTACGATTCTCGTAAAGAACTCGTAGAAGAAATATAAAGGAAAGATCCCGAAAATTATGAACTGTTTTACTGATATACATAGATAATATAATATAAAGTCAATAATAAATAGTAAAGATTATAAATACAATCGGCAAAATATATACCTGACACGATCGATACAGCACCGAGTGAAAACTTGGAGATGTCAGACGGGAAAGACTCACTCCCGGGGAGAAAATTTTCCAAATATATATGAGAAGTGATGATTATATATATAATGCATCATTCTAATGCCACCTTGACGTTTTTGTGATTAACTTGTTTTGTTTGGATGAAAAGTTTCAATCTAGAAAATGATACAGCATATTATGATTGTCAAGAATACGCGCCGATGCATTTTGCGTGTGGTTATTCTGGAGCATCCTATATGTAAATGTAGGACATAATATTGTGCTTATGTGCTTATGAACTTGAATGTGGGAAATAGTAACATTTTGCGTTTTCATATTTTTCTGTTACGGACAAACACACATATATACATGTATGTATGTGTTTGTATGTATGACGAAAAAATATAACAACGCAAAATATCACGAGTCTGTGTACATTTGTGTTCATGAACACGTGCAAACGCAATATTGTGTCATACATTTTTCGCCAAGAAACCACTTTTGGCAAAAAACCTGATTCGCTTGTATCGCATCTTTTAAAAAAGTTTCTCAATAAAAACATTTTTTCTAGCAATACGGCGCTTGCATTTTTTTTCTTTCGCATGATATTTTGTAATCTGCGTAAGTTATCAGGCAATCGTGATATTCGTATTTCCTCGTATTTTGTCATCCATCTGTCAACGCACGTGGGATTATTTTGATGATAAAATGTCTTTCTAATTATGAATATATATTATACGTAACGAAGTAGAATGTGAGAGATCGGGAATGAAACCGTTAATGGACACACTGGGTCGACACAAATACATATTTTCCGATACTTTCGTCATTTATTTTGATTAATTTGTAAAATTTCCTTATCCTAGATTTACGGCACAGATAAAGTGTATAAATAAATATATCCGTACATAATAAAAAGAATGTTGGTATTGATAGACATTCAAAAAAACGCACGAAAGTATGATCTGGTCATGCCTCATATACTAATGTATATATAAACATATATATATATATATATATATATATATATATATTGTAACATCTACTTACCGTAGTTATTATTTCACTTTCTTTGCATGAATCTTTTCTTATTATATGCATTTGAGTTGCCCAAGATGGCTGAGTTCAGTCACGCTCTCTCGGCCAGCAAAAATGCCTGCACACGAGCATATCTTGTTACTTCCACCATGTGTGTAGTATATGTTCGTCCATCTTTGAAGAAAACCTCGCTGAAGCACTCAGAAGCAGGTAAAAACACGTGTAACTTCATAGTTACTTTGCAATAACATCCAAGGTGTACGTAATCATTTTTATTAATAGCTGTTGCAGTTACACAGTTCCTTCAAAAGGACTTGATAAAATTTTCAGTTCAAAATAATTTACGATTGAAGAAATGCGAAAAAATACTGCAAGACATAACGGATAAGATAACGAATAGAAATTTTACGAGTTCAATATCAGATATTATAAATAATGATATTGATCCGCATCTTGAGTATCTCTTCCTGCGCAAACTATTGCAGATTTCCATGCGGCTAAAGAGAAGTTGAAAATCAATCAAGAATATAGGGGTAAATATTGTAATAATTATTTGTTCTTATATACAATAAAATCTTATATATTAGAAAGTAACGTCATACTTTAAGTAAGTATCTGTCATGAATTCTTTGATGGCAAATATAAAAAGGACTTTCTTTTATTAAAAAAAGACTACCTTTGAGACACTTTATCAATATCATACCATTTATCATTGCTGATGGAACTCTTTGTGAAATATAAAAAATAATAACATAAAAAGTTCTACATATACCCATGATGGCAAAATTAATGAATGTCGGATAACATTGCAATTCCTATATAGTTGGACTGGTGCCAAACAAAATAAAGAGAAGTTTCAAAATATTACCATTTTGCAAAATGGTACAGAGTAAAGTTTAACATAAATATATTTATAGGAAACAAATATATTCTAATTTTTACGCAGTAAATATTTATATAATATTACTTTGCAGCGATTATACTTCAAAATACATAATGATACAAACGTTAAAAGCTTAAAACTACTATGGACTGGTGGTTTTAACACGAGCTATTTTTTCTGGAACTACCACGTTCCAGTAAGAATCAACGCTAGATATGTTATCGCTTTGAAAATGTACAGCATTCACCGATCGAATCTTCCGCTGTGCCGTCTTATATAATTGCGCCGAGTGATTTTCACTGCGAGATAATGTGCCGCCTAGCGGTGAAAAAGCAACGCCGTGAAAACAGGCGTTTCACCCGAAGGTAGTGTCAAAGGCAGTGTCGTCTGCTATAGCAGGTGACAGCTTTAGGGCGGTGCGTAGCCGGCACAAATGCGATAATGGCTTCATCAAAGGAATCTTAAGACGTATTTGTGCTGTCAAGCAGTTCACCGGTTGGCAGGCGTAAGTGGCGTGCCTGGAAGGCAGGCTCCGATCTGGCTGGCGGAGGTGGCGGCGGGTGAAGAGAGCGACACAGTGGAACAAGTTCAGCGGGAATATCGATTCAGTCTCGCGCAAACCACCCCTCATGTGCTGCCGTGGCCGCTGCAGCGGCGGCAGCGCGCTCGAGAAGCTTCGCTCGGCTATGCCCGCCGACGATACGTAAACAGAGAAACGCGAGGAGTGCGGCGTTGAGTACGACTTTAGTGCAGTGTGACCTTCGCCGTCTTCGCCGAGGAAACGGACGAGCGAGCGTCTCCCGGCGTCGCGTCGCGCCGCGTCACCGGCAACCCCGGAAAGCCCGCAGACGGGCCGGATGTGCCGCGCCGATCGCGATTATTGATTCTCGCCTGGCGTGTTTCTTCCTTGTTGCTTTTTTCTTCTCCCTTTCTGGAGCTTCGATAGGATCATCGCACGCGGCGACGCAACGCAACGAGAGAGAAAGAGAGCAAGAGGAGGAGGTGGTGAATCGCGCGCGCTGCCAACCCCTCGATCACCTCATCCACCCTTGCCCACCCTCGGGAGCGGGAAGCGCCGACGAGTATCGTCTCCGCCGCCGCCGCCGGCGCGCGGCGTTACTCGCTCGAGGGAGGCCCAGTATCGGCCCGACTACCGTCGCTCCGCATCCACTGTCATCGCGGCCACCGGCCGTCGAATATGACGCGGCCCCATCGTCCTTCGCAGACACAGCCGTGCTACTCTTGACTACGAATCGACGCGGCGAATCGGGACACGGTGACGAGTGCCACATCGAGACATGTCTTCGATATCAGCGCAGGGCGTCGTCGAGCGTGCCAGCGCCGAACTGACCAAGCGGATCAACGGTCTGGGGTTGCGGACGTCGAAGCATCATGGTCGGTGGTGAAGCGTTTTCTCCCTTTCTTCTTCTTCTCCTCCTCCTCCTGCAGTCCTTGCTTTTACCTACTTTCTTTCAACCCCCCCCCCCCCCCCCCCCCC